TTTAGTTCCCCCCCCCCCCCCCCCCCCCCCTCTCTCTCTGCGGGGCTGTCTGTTCTTACCCCCCTCCCCCAATCCCGCCTACGCCAATGCTACGTGTGCCGGACTCGACCGCCCCCCCGCCCAACCCCACCGGGCAGGAGCCTCTCCGCGTACGACTTCTCCTCCGCCAACGTGACCCTCATCCCGAGCGTGCCCGGTCGCCACAAGGGCAGGGACCTCTACAGGTACGGCCACATGCGCGTGCGCGCGGTGCTGGCCAGGGAAGAGGTGCACGTGAGGCCCGGGTCCCACAGGGTGGCCTTCCAGGCGGCCAGCATCATGAACCTTTCCCGTCGCCCGGTGAGCAAAACAAATATTTCTTCTTGGGGCCTATTTTTTTTTTCATCATCTGGCGTGGGGGGTAGTTTGATGTGTTGCGTGGAGCTTGGTAAGCTCGGCTCGGAGCGTGGTAACCCTTTCTCTCTCCCCGAGCAGCGCTGTTCGTCTTTTCTTTTTTTACCAGGTGGCAGTGTTTTTGGTGCGTTTTGCTACAACGTGGTTGGTTTATTTTGTGCTTTGTTTTCGTTTGGATTCGTTTGGATTTGTTTCGTCTTCTGCTTCGGCTTTAGCGCTCCTTGTCCCGCCAGTCGTCTCCATACCCTCCGTTGCTTGTTGCCCTCCCCCCCCGCCCCCTAGTACAAGTGGCTGGGCGAGATCACGGAGTCCTTCATGGCCGAGAAGACCAGCAGCAAGGACGGTAAGAACGGCAAGAAGGCCATTCGCGACATCGACGTCGGGCTCGCCGAGGAGGAGGAGATGAGGAGGAAGAAGAAGGAGCAAGACGAGAGGAACAAGGGGAAGAACCAGCCGAAGAAGCCGCTCGGGCAGCGCAAGGACCCGTGGGGCGACAAAGGTATTGATACTTGGTTCATTTTTCCCTACCGTTAAATCGAGCGGCACAAGAATGCATTGACCTACGCACGACCAAGATCGATCGGCAGAAGACAAGATAGATCTGCGTATGGCAAGATCGAACTACATCAGACGATAAACATGTGTTGCAGCTTTTGGACGGGCGGTGGTTCACCGAACACATTGCCAACAATCAGGGTAAGCCCTGGGGGTGTTAGGTGTGTGACCAACGAGCGTTTGCCGGCGAATCGGAGTTGGACGGTGTGCGTGGGGTGCATTGTGTCCGCAGGGACCTGATTGTTTTGGAGTTTTGACGGGACAATGTGCGGCTTACTATCGCTGCGCTGACGGCGTGGGGCAGGTATCCTTGAGAAGCGGAAGGAGAGGGCCGAGAGGCGAGAGGCCATCCACCGCCGCAACGTGCTCGGCATCCTTCCGCCGAAAAAGCCCAAGCCCCCCAAGCGCCTGGGCAAGAAGGCCTTGAAGAGGAAGAAGAGGGAGGAGCAGGAGGTGTGTGTGTGTGAGAGAGAGAGAGAGAGAGACGCAGAGAGAGAGGGGGGGGGAGACAAACAGAGACAGACAGAGAGAAGCAGGGAGAGAGAGAGAGAGAGAGAGAGAGAGAGAGAGAGAGAGAGAGAGAGAGAGAGAGAGAGAGAGAGAAAAATAGAGATAGAGGGGGGGAGGGGGGGGGAGAGAGAGAGAGACAAATAAATAGAGAGAGGGGGGGAGGGAGAGAGAGAGAGAGAGAGAGAGAGAGAGAGAGAGAGAGAGAGAGAGAGAGAGAGAGAGAGAGAATCGGTGTGTGTATGGCGCATACCATGAGTCGAGGCTGACTACCGACCCGTCACGATAAAAGTTGCTTGTGTTTCAACCACAGGTGTAGGTTGCTGCCTGTCTTCGTGTCTGTTGGTGCGTCCTTCACGACAGCGTGTGTCAGACCAACGACGCTCGATAACGCCCTGTGTGTTCGACAGCAAAGTAGGATGCCTCGAGCGTAGCAAATATACGATTTGATTTGTCTTTTTTGCGTGGTCCAGTACAGACAATACCATGACCTCTCCAACCGCCGTTGTCATTGTTCTAGTCTGCGTGTCTATTGGTTCGTCCTATATGTGTCCAGAACAAATACCAAGACCTCTCCCGCCCCCTGCTCTCGATGTGTATTCCGAAGGCGGCGGAAGCGGCGGCCTTGATCAAGTGGGTCGGGAAGGAGAGGAAGAGGAACTGGTTCATGAAGTTCCTTCGTGTTGTCTGGCCCACCGAGGAAGCCGTTCGGACGTCCAACTTGGGCTGGGAGTCGGGAGCGTGAGTACAGGTTTTCAGTGAAAAAAGCAGCATCTTGGATTGGTTGTCAATACGAGGTAGAAGGTAGATGGTTTCTGCCCTAGACGGAGTAACTACTCTGTGTCTTGTCTTGTTTGTCAGGACAGGTTTTCGTTGTTGGTGATGGTTCAGCTAAATGGGTTTTCTTCTGCGCGGCGTTTAGTAGGAGACGGCCGTACCCCTTTATCTTGTCCTCTGTCTTTGTCTTCGCAATCAAGTAGAAATCAACCACAGAGTACAAGTAGTACGGCGGCATGCTGATTCTCACGACAACCCTGCTGACCTTTCGTTTTTTTTCGGTTTCTGGTGTCCCTTCAATAGTCATAGGTCGGTTTCATTCTGGTTCCAACAATACCTCTCAAAATGTGTTACCCCCCCCCGCCCGCACACCCGGGCCCCCCGGCCTGTACCATCCTTCCAGTGCAACAAAGCCACATGGTACTCCTCTCTTTTTTTTTTGGCCGATGGACAGAAAAACGATGCGTGGCCGGTAAATTTAACGTACGCGGCCAAACTACCATCTTTTTTTTTTCCCCATGCGTGTGGGTTTCCCAACATTCTTTCAGCGGCATGCCATGCCTCACGACGACCCTGTACGAAGGGGGTTACCGCAAGTGCGAGACGAACTACCAGCTCAACAGGGTGATGGAGGAGCTGAAGCCCCTCCTCTGCACCTGGACGGGGGCCAAGGGGATGGACAGGGGGAACGCCATGCCGCACCTCAACACGTACTACCGCTACCGCGAGCTACCGAGGACGGACGGTGAGACAGACAGACTGCCGTTATTGTTCGTCGTTGTTGTTGTTGTTGTTGTTGTTGTTGTTGTTGTTGGCGCAGTTATGGTCGTTCATTGACAAGAGGTTGGTGAGACTGCCGTTGTTGTTGTTGTTGCCGTTGTTGTTGCTGTTGCTGTTGTTGCTGTTGCTGTTGGCGCGGTGATGGTCGTTCATCGACAAGAGAGCGGTTGATGATATGCCCTTGTCTGTTGTGGGGCCGTGACTGTCGTTCTTTGACAAGAAAGCGGGCGGTGAGAGTGCCGTTGTTTGCTGCTGCTGTTGCCATCTATCACTTGTACACCTTGGTGTATTTTTTTTTGTTGTTGGTGTGTTTGGCGGGGCGATGCGATGAACGACAACACCAACATTTGACAAGAACATCAAAACGACAACGGCAGGCTCTTTGAAGATGAGCAAGGATGGCCTGGCCTACTTTCTGCTGGCATCTCACAGCCTGCACCGGATCGCTTGGGGCTACCTGGAGCACGTGAGACAATCTTGGGGAGAATGTTCACGAGCGACGATGAGAGATCGAAGCGCACAGGCGATACAGACACACGTTGGTTTTAGTCCTTACAACTCGTGTATGTTGTTGTCGTTCCCACCGTCACTCATTGTTGTTGTTGCTGCTGCTGTTGTTGGTGCTGTCGGGGGTGATCGTTGTTATTCTCGTGTGGAAGTTGCTCTGCGTGGCGAGTTTGTTTTGCGGGAGTTTTGCTAACGTTTAACCCTCCTTTACCCGTTCAACTTGACCTTTTCTGGACAAACGAGTTCCAAAGTCGTGGTTGCTACACTCTGTGTATATTATTTTGCGTGCGGGTTCCGTTTTTCGCGGCTTTTGCTTGCATGAGGACCGACATTTGGTGTTGGAAAAAGGAAACCGACAACGGCCAGACACAGATGTATGCTCCCGAATCAGCAACGGCAGCAGCAACACAAGCTAGGGCTTGCAAGGATGAAACAGTAACCGTAGCTGACGTCACGACGACGACCAACAACACCGAGGGCATCGCCTCGTCTCGTACTTGTATCAGATTATGATGCCGCATGGCAAGAGACTCGGTCCTGTTATACCTTGACGTATGACGCAAGAGACTCGCAAGAGACTTGAGTCTGTTTGAAGAGCCTTGGCGTATGTCGCACGAGACTCGAGCCTGTTGTAAGCCTCGAATTATTCCCGCTACGTTAGGCGTACTGACGGTACCATTGCAGCCTCGTTCGCGGTTTCCTCCGCCTCCACCACCAGTGCGTCGGCGGCCTGCCTCGCCTGCTGAGACTCTCTCGATCCCCATCGCCACCATCATCATCGTCCACCATCGTCACAATTTATCCCCTTGTGCCGCCTACAAACAATGCTGCCCGCAGAGGAACCCGCCCCAAAGGCCCAGGAAGCGGAGGGTGAGAATGAAGCCGATCTACCCCCCCAAGCCAGAGAACACGCTGCCCTACAAGGAGGTATGCATTGCATGACTCCACGAGGGAAGGGGTGTTTACTCATAGCCGTGCATGCCGTAGTCGGTAGGACATTGGCCTCGCGTCCCTACAAAGCCCAGACGGAGCACGCCGGGTTCTCGTCGGACCAGGCTCTCGCATCACCAAGCGCGAAGCGCCGTGAGGTGTGCGGCGAGTCGGGACGGAGGGGTGCTCATGTTTTGCACGCCTTTGATGTTAGACCATTGACCACGCGGACGGGAGGGAGGGGGGGGGGGGGTACGCATGGTTATCCTTATTGTCTGCCACACCAGTACATCAGAGAGCGTTGACCCGCACGGCATTGGCTCAGCGGGCATTGTCAGCTTCCGTTCTGTGCGGCCCGTTATTTCTAGAGAGACGGAAGTTTGTTCATCGTAGTTTGGAAGCAACAAGCTGTTGCTGGTTAGTAACAACGATGAGCACAACGCACACGTGGCACACACCTGGCACGAGGTTCTCTGTCGAACGACAATTGACGATGAGATCGCCTGCGTGGTTCGTCAAAAGGTAACTGCTCGTGCAGGGGGGTGCTGTCGCTTGTACGGGGGGTTGCACCCGCGGGGCCCCCCTCGCAAAGATAGAGGGGACGATGCATGCACGTCCCCGGGTTTTCGGCCCTCAGATGGGAACGTGGGACATGTGTCTCGCTTGTCATGCATGGCCTACAGTGCCTTCCGACCATAGGCCTCGCATTCCCATATAGATCCAGGAGAGTCGAAGAACGCGATTGGCTAGTGATTTTGGTGGTGAGGAACGTTTTTTTTGTTTTGTTCGAAGTGCTGGTGTGTTGCAGATCGTGCTACCCTTGCGCACGAGAGAGGTGCAATTGGATGCGAAGTAGAGGGGGCTAGCTTTGAAAACGTTGGCGTTTACCTGCGGCTGCTAGAGGCCAAGAGGAACAAGGAGCAAGATCCGAGGCGGGTGTGAATGCGCGACGCCAAGATTCAGTAGGGTCTTATATAATAGCTCTCCTTTTGCGTGGTGTTCAGGGGGGCTTGCAACGTACAGTAGTGCACGGTAGATCTTCACTGCGAGAACACGCGCAGAGATTAATAATCATACGGTTCCCCTCTATACAAACACTTCAGTCCCCCAACCCCCATTGCTTTCCCCACCCATCCCTTGCCATCTATCCGAGCTGTTGATTCGTCGACCTCAACGAGATCACCCTAAACTAAGATCGGCGAGAACAACCCTACCGAACCCTTTTGAGCAGGAAGAGGCCCAGCTGGACATCAAGTCTTTCGACATGGGCGTCATGTTCCTCCCGAGCAAGATCCCCCCCAAGCGGCCGCTTCCCATGGACTACGACTCTGACGACTCTGACGACGACATGGGTATGGATGCGGCGGGCGGCGGCGGGTCTGGTGCCGCTTCGCCGGCGCCGTTCTCTTGCGACCCGGAGGGCGCGCTGTTTCGCCTGCGGCCGCTGAGCTACCGCTGCCCCGATCAGGCGCCGGCCGCCAGGCTAAAGACGCTGCCGCTGGGGCTGCTCCCGTTGCCGCACCAGCTGCCGGGTGAGCCAGCTGGAGGCGTTGGTATTGTGTTTGTGCCTCACACGCCTGTGCGCCGTAGATTTGCTTGTCAAGACGTTTCGTTTGCAGCTGTTTTGCCGTCTCGCAGCAGCTGACGCAGGAGACAGGCTGTGTTCGTCTGCGTATATGTCTGTGAGCGTGTCCGAGCACTCTGCCTCTTCTCTCTCCAGCGTTTTGAAACTGACATCAAGTGCTGGTTCTCTGAATGCTGCCCATCAACATCAACAGTCCGCGTGTTTGCTGCCGCGCGTGCACCCCCCCCCCCCCCCCCCCTCT